AAAAATGCACATGCTAATGAAAACCAGGGTGACCCCAACGCATCCATTCCCACCGTCCAACCCGTCATCATGCGTCCCCAATTCGGCGTAAGTCATCACCACAATCGCAATCTAATCCCTCACCACTAACCAGAATATCCAGGCCCTCGTCCCCTCCACCTCCATCACCTTCGTCTCCCAAGCCTCCCTCGACGCAGGAGTGGTCCAATCCTACAACCTGCAAAAACGCGTCGAAGCCGTCAAAAACTGCCGCAACATCGGCAAAGCCGACATGAAATTCAACGACATCATGCCCAAGATGCACGTCGACCCGGAAAGTTACCGTGTCGAGGCGGATGGTGTGCTCTGCGATGCCGAACCGGCAGGCAGTTTGCCCCTGACACAGGATTACTTCGTTTACTAAGCATGATATCTCTTCGGGTGGAAGTTTCGGGTTGTTTGCTTTTCTTCTTATGTATAGACTTTTCTTTTCTTTTCTTTTCTTCTTACGATATTTTATGATAAGCTTTAGGTGGGTTGGTTGAAGGGGATAGGTAGGATTAATGCATGAGATGGAAGGAGGGAAGGAAGGAGGATTGTATATAGTAACCTGACCTGACCTGACTTACGTGATGAACCATGCATGATATGAATTGCATTTATTTCTCTTATTTCCTTATAGTACATGAAGCATTATGATATGTATGTAGACCGCATGACTGACCTAATCAGAGCTCAATCTCTTCTTCAGTATGGTTATCCCCGGTTGATATGAGCGAAACTGCCGCCCACGCTTCAAAGCTATCTGCTCGCGCGGCTAGATATGCGTCCCGGCGGATTTGGGCTGATACCGATCGTCGAAGACTTTGCTGTCGGTGGCGATGACGATAATGAGGAGTGATATGGTCTGCTGTGCCGTCATAATTGGGTATTATACTTTCTTCATCCTGTTGTCGTTGTTGCTCGATGCTTGTCTCCTGTTCCTGGGACTCGAATGTTGATGATGCTAAGGAGAGCGGTTCGCTGGATTGGCTGTTCGTTTGAGTTTGGGTTTGGTTCTCATTGTCATCTGAGTGTGGTGGTGTGGCTGAGGGCTGAATGTATGTTGGTGAATGTTGGGGGTCTGGGTTGGTGTTGATAATGGAAGAGGATGTTTGTGTTTGTATTGATGAGATGTGTTTGGCCGTTATTGTAGTATGAGGTGGGTTGTCTAGTGGAGGATGCGGGGTCGGAGCGATTTCAGAATTAGGTAGTTCAGATTCTTTCTCGGCCAAAGAGGAAGGGAGGGAGTCGAGCTGGTAGAGTGCTCGTTCGGAGGGCTCGGCGTTGTTGAGCATGTGCCAGGCACGGCGGATCTCGTCGCGGCGTGCCTTTGCGGTTTCTGGGGATGGGGTGGGGATGACGAGAGGATGGTTCGTGGGTACTGGGGTGGGCTCTTCGATTGGCTCAAGGGACGATGGAAGGGGGATTCGGTCTGAGGAGGACAGTAGATCAGAGATGGCTGCGGGGGGTGGAGGGTGGCTTGGTTGGAATGGTTCTGGTATACTGCTGTCTACCATGCTGGATGTTTGTTGGCTGGACTGTGTTGTAAAGGAACCTTCGTAGCGGGCTCGTTTTCTTGCTCGTATCTCTGGATCGTTCGCTGTTAGGTCCCGCATCTGCTGGTCGTGGGCGAATCCACTCGCGCTGCAGAGGTGCCCGAATAGGGTTTGCATGGATACTTCCTCGTCCCAGCTCACAGGATCGACTGTGCAAGGGTGTACATCTTTGGGCTTGAATGCGGAAACGAGATGGCACAATTCGGAGTATGAGGAGTGGCGGGAGTAGGGGAAGTGCTATGGACGTTAGAGAGTATTTAAGGGCAGAGGTTTATGATGAATACGTACAATGTTATTGGGGAGGGATTTGCCTTGTCTGTCTCGTAGATGTGTGTGCTGATTCATTTCGCTCGATGTAGTATCGTCATCAGGACGGCCACGACTCAGTATGCCCACGAGGTCTTCTAGAGGCAAGTCATGTGCTTCTTTCATTCCGTAGTTGTCAAGAGATAGTGCTTTGGTTTTTGATCGGAACGCGTCGGTAAGAGCCTGTCTCGTCTGAGAGAGTGCACTAGTATCTTGAATGCGCTCGGAACAGAGCTTTTCTAACTGTTCCAGTGCCGACTGGTCCGGGAGCTCGAGTTCATGGACTTGGTATAGATCACCGCCTCCCCCACCAGCCCCGATCTCGGGCATCTCTGAGCCATCATTTGTGCGGGTCACAATTGGCGTGATGCGGACGGTGTCTTGAGACGCAGCCGCGGAGCAGTGGACGCCTGGCTCGCAGCTATGGATGCGGGAATTCTCATTCTCGCTAAGGCAGCCTGGAACGAACCGATTACCGAGTTCGTATCCACAGAGGAAAGGAGCGTCGTTCACACCGCGTGCGGCTAGTGACCTGTATAGATCCATTTGGTATCGGTCCACGTGGATCTGGTTGTATCAGCACAACAGCTTGGTTGTTGTAGAAAACAATACGCACCTTCGAATCGAGGGCAGCTGACAGTGCCATCCAGACTTCTTCGTAGCCAAAGGTCCAAGCCCGAAGATAGAATGTAGTGCTGTCTGGATACGCTTGGACTTTGTTCAGAAGTTCTTTCAAGCCCTCTGCCTTTGATGGAAAGGTATGACATACATGCGACGGACGGGCAAAGGTGTTGTCAATGTATATGTTGTCTAGCTGCTTGATTCCCAGGGTATAGGGGACGAGAACGGGATTCCGGATAATGCTGTTAACCCACCAGGGTTCAGCTACAGTCCATTAGCAGGGAAATAAGCTTGCGGAAGCTAGTGAAGAGACTACATACCGCGAATATCGCCAGTATACAGTATAGCCTTTCCATTCCCCTCTATCAGAAACATTACTGCGCCTGTGCAGTGATTTGCATCGAACAGAGTGACTCTGATTGACAGCCGTGGGGTGAGATCCAGCTCCGTTGGCGTGTTCAACGGGATTGGCCTCTGTGCCAGTGAGTTTACTATAATGAAACGGGTTTAGGATACATACCAGAAGCTTAAACAGATGCTTATAATGCAGCTTCCGGGACTCTAGGATCCCTTTGCTAAAGTTCATACGATGAGGATACTTTTCGATACGCAGGAGCATCTGGGAGAAGATGAGCTTGTGCTACGGCAGGATTTAGAATGATAAGCACCTCTCGAGTCGCTGCAGAGCAGTATATAAACGGAGTTCTAAATGACTCCAGCCCTTGAAGATGGTCACTGTGAACATGGCTGAGAAAACAGGCGAGCGGAGGCGGCCTGTCTGGGTTCTTGCGGAAGTAGTCAACTGCATGACTTTTTTAGAGTTGATATTCACCTATCGGGAGTTTACCAAGTTCTTACTCTGAATGGAGGGAAATTCTACAGTGCATTAGAGAGCAGACTTAGCTTATCGAGGGATCGGAAGTATACACCTACCCCGGACAAACCCATCGAAGGTCGACATTAATTAGACGTGGTTGCGTCACAATGGACGGAGGCTGGAGCGGCACGCAACTTAATTCTTCCTGGGACGATAGAAGTGTACCGTCGACAAAAGCGGCATGTGAAATGATGACGATGACAATAATGATGATGAGTTGGAAAGAGAGACGAGAAGATAGCAAAAAGAAGAGGCAGTTGTGGTGACCGTGGTTTCCCAATCGGGAGCGTGTATACACGTGACCGAGAAATATTACGAAACGGTGAACAACTCGATGGTTGAAGTAGAAAACAACTCGAAGTGTGACGGAGGAGATGATTTGTTTTCTCATTGGCACCATTGGATGACGATGATGATGAGGTTGCTGTGCCTGCCCGATCTACTAAGTACTACTGCTACTGAATCTTACCGCCACTTGCCCGGACCCTAGTCTTAAGCAGCCAGACAAGAGGATTTCCTTCTATCTCTCTGCACACCAAGAAACTCACTGACCAGCCCATCCGCGGCCCGTTACTGATGGATCAACAGGCAGCTGCTCACCCCCTTGTCTAGGCCTTCCCTCCCACGAGTGAGAAAAATTGTCCTGATCCTATCATGGTATAATCCGGGGCTCTCCAGGGCAAGTACCTACATGGCCCCGGCGTGAAAGCCAACGGGCAGAGAAAGCCCTGCCCGCGACCAAGTGGCCTTGCAGGCAATGACTGTGAGGCGAGTGGGCGTCAAGACCCGCTCGCCAGCACAGGTTTCGGTGCCATTCATGGCTCGACTTTATTGGGAGAGGCGGACAACTCGTCCTTCGATGGATCTCTCCTGTTGTCACGGATTTAGGTTGGCTAACTCACGACTCCACGCAGTTCGTCCCCTATGCGCTGGTCATTTGCATGCGTGGTCCGGTCTGTCCCAGTGTGTGTCACCCGACTGGCACCAAAAGACTCCTGGCCTGATATATAAACATGATCACCTCCATCCTTCGCTTTTCCCAACCCGGGCTTGATTTTCTTTTCTGGAAATCATCACTAACGCTTTCTTTTCCCTGCTTTTCCCTGGATCGGGAACAGCCCTACGGACGACAGCGATCATCATCATCGTCATCACCATGGGCCATTCTTACTAGGCTTCTTAAGTGACAAGAACTGACGCATTAGGCTTTGGGTCCTAACGGTACCTGAAGTCAAGACATTTGGCGTGTTACAACACCTCTCACCAAGAGCCCAACGATCCCAAAGTCGAACCGATAAGGAGGATAAATAGAGTCTGGGGGTCATCGTCATCAGCGTCCCATACCCACCCTCATCTTCATCTTCAATTTGAACCCACGTGTGTGGACCGGGTTTCCATGTGTTGATCTGGTGGAGGCATGCCTTTTCTGCGTCGGCCTTCCCCTTAAGCAATCATAACTACCCGCCTTAACGACCGTTTCACTAATTCATATTTGAATGCGGGCCGTGGCTGAAACCGTGGCGAGATCTGACGACTGCATCGCGGCATATCTCCTTTTCTAGCCCGTCCCCGTTTTCCACTATTGCCCGACGATCCCCAACGGCCCCCCGTCCGGAACCAGATCTATTTGCATTCACAGTCCCTTTTTTGCATCTCCTGCCCTCGATTCATTCCTTGCCTTTCCGCTATTGAACGACCAAACTCTCATTTATTTTATTGTTACTAGCCTTCACTTATTCCCTTCCCCTCCTTTCCACATTCCAAGTTTCACCCCCATCTTTTAATCAACATCCCTTTCTTTCCGAGTTGTTTCTATACTTCTCCTTGGTATACTACTACATACCTCCGTCCCTTATCAACGCTCCCCGTCTCCAACTCTTACTGTCAACACCGCCATTACCATCACCATGCATAAGCCTTCACTGGCCCAAATAGTGCACAGCACATTATTTCCGCGCCCGCGCGCGAGTGATCCGGCTACATTCTCAGCACATATTACCCGCAACCTGGTCCCCGAAGTTCGAGTCGAAACATCCACATTCTATGGATCGCTTGACTGCCCCGAGGCTCAGTATCCGGGACTTGACTATTCCTATGGTCCACACCGCATGAGGCTCGGTCGTTTTCCATGGCACCGAAGACTGTTCCGGGCGTTTGACGAGCTCGGTCTTACGGAGACTGAGATCTCTTCCCTCTGCCGCTGGGAGGGCACCAAATCGGCTCGCGAGCGTTACGAGAAGGAAGAGGGAGTCAAAGTCCGCGATACTACGGCAGACAATATTCGACCCGCTTCTCCTTCTCCCCTCCCATCGATCGAGGTCCACTACGAGGATGAGACGGAGGAGGAAGAGGATGAATTCTTGCCAGAACCGGAATACCCGGTGGTGACATTCGAGACCGTGCGCTCTACCAGCAGCTTGATCGATGACCGGGGGATCGATTGCATTGTGGAAGAGAAGGAGGAGGAAGATTCAAGCGACGACGAAATGGAAAGCTGCGGAGTCGAGCTGAACCATCGCCTCATAGCGGCGACCGCGGCCCGCGAGCAGGGGGCAGACGTGTCACTGGACGAGGATTGGGAGCAGTGGCTGAAGGAAGCCGGGGAGCGAGGGAGCTACACCGACGTGCTCAGTGCGATCCGGATGGGTCAGCCACTGGGTTACCTATACGATACGTCTCCTCCAATGCCGCCCGTCGGAAGGGTCGGCGGTCGATCATCTGCCTCACTTTCAGAGCCATTCGTTCTCCCCACCCCGTCCATGCTGTCGAGCCGGGGTATCCAGCGTTATGCTCATTCGTCGTCACGGACAGCCCGATAGAACGGCAGTCGACTGCGGTTTCCTTTCCTTGCGAGGTTCAACATTTAGCGAAATGGGTCCGGCTACTCTGATTCATGCATTTGCGGCGCATCCTCGGTGGATATCTTCCTTGGCGATATTGCTCATTGCTCTGCTTCTCACATCTCCGATTCCTCTTTCGACCGTATAGATTTCCCGTGACTCTGCGCGTCCTCCTTTTTTTCACTTTCTACAGTTGTAATACCCCCTTTGAGCCACATGCGGCACCATTTGCACATAGATGCGCCTTCGTTGATCGTCTTTTCTTTGAAGTCGAAATAAATTGCAGATTAGAAGAATGCGGTAACACACAATAGAGAATAATTTTATATAATCATATGATATGATCTGAGAGCGTTGTGAATATCCCAAAGAGTGAGGGGGGCGATTAACAGTTAGCGGTCGGCGGATGGATGCTTATTTGCTGGAAACTCCGCGTTGGGCTGGAAGCTCCCCGCAGCTCCCCGCGAACTTGTCTGTCTTTCCCCCCCCCTCCCCTTCCTTCTCGATGTCTCCCATTCCACCATGATCAAAGCCATCTTCTACAGCAAATTCGACACACAGGAAGGTAAGCAGCTCCAATCTTATTGAAGGTTTTATGCAATGTCATTTGCTGACTGCTTCAGGGCCCAAGGTCGTCCACCAAGTCCCCGATGGCGCGATTGTCCCCTCCGCAACTGCCCCCTCGCAGCCCCTCTTCCTCACTTTCTCCGACATCTCCTTCTTCGTCATTCCCCGGCAAGAGCTGTGTGGGAACCTGATCCAGGTTTGCACCAATGGCTACCGCATCCTGGGCTATCCGATCTGCATGAAGTCCCTGCGATACGACCGGAATGAGTTCATCTTCAATTTCTGCGTGGTGCTGTCGGAGGATGAGGATTTCAGCACCTACAAGAGTGTTGTGCAGAAGCTGGCCGATTTGATGCATGGATTGGAGGAGCAGAATGGCTTCCTATCGCGAGATCATTCCAAATCCGGTGAGGGAAAGGTATACAGCCTGTGTGAGACGCTGATGGAGGATCTGAACAATTACTGCGAGTGCATGATCCCAATCGGTAACGCCTACCCTTTCAGTCCACTGCGCGTCTGCCCAAATCCCAGCTGCTAACACGGGAGATCCCAGACGAGCTGAACACCCTTAACATCAAGCTATTCCCCATCTATCCCGCCCCGCCGCCTGTCAAGGCATGGCATGTGCCGCTGTTCACGGTCCGCTACCAGACCTTCATGGATGAGAACTGGGATCTGACCATGCAACGAGTACGTTCATACCTACGCCTCTCGCTGCATCGCAGCCAGCTGAACTTCCCCTCCAGATCGTCCCCCACATCAATGGCGTCAATAGCGTTCGGATTATTTCCATTCTTGCCGATACAGACTTCTCCCTAACCTGCCGCGCCATTCGTCACCTGCTCTACTACGGCTGCTTGTTCCTCCTCGACATTTTCTCTTTCTCAGCCATCTATGCCCCAACCGCCCAATTCAGCTCCACAATTGCCACGGACGAAGAAATGCAGCAGGAATGCGCCCGTTACGTCAACACAGTCTTCGCCTCTCCAATCACCGCTGCCTCGGCCGCCCTGACCCCGGGGTATCCCCCGCATTACGATCCCGACACCGTCTGGCCCCCAGTCGGTCAACCTCTCACAGCCAGTAGCGCCAGCGAGAACACGATCTCCAGCCGCAGCCCTAGTCGAACCCCTAGCCCAAGTCCTAGCGCCGGCACCATCCAAGCCAGCAGCAGCAGAACCACGTCACCGGCTCCAGGAACAGCCACCGACGACGACACCGCCACTACCACAGACACACATGCCATCGAGCCCCAACTCGTCGACGGCGTCGGCCTCGTTGAACTCTACGCCAGTCTCAAGCAAGGCCAAAGTGTCAAACAATGGTACCTCCAACATAGTCGACAACTCGCCCACATCGACATCCGCCGCTTCATCACTTTCGGTGTCATCAAGGGCTTTATCTACCGTGTACACAAATACGCCATAGCAACCGGAAACCCAGCACCACCCTTGAAATCCTCTCACTATCATCACCACAGCTCGCCCTCATTACATCCACCCAGCGGTCCATCGTCGCGAGGGCCCGGAACAGGCACGAACAGTCCTTACGCCACCAGTGCAGGAGACGACCCGGCTCCTATTGCACAGCACGATGGTGGGCCGAGCCATCACTCAACCTCAGTTTACAGTGGAAGTCGGCCGGCCACGATCGTGACTCTCGAAGGGGAGGAAGAGGAAGATGATATTGATGATAAGACGCTGTCGAAGTATCTCGATGGGATGCATTGTTTCGATCAGGTCTGTACAGAGTTGGAGATCAGCGAGAGGGAGTTGACGGCGCGGTTGAAGAGGTTTCCGGGGGAGGTGCTCATATTGCATCGATAATTACTACCTCTACTCCTTTCTTAGCCTGCTTTATTTATGTTGATACCCGATTTGCTAATTTATTACCCACCAATATACATTAAATACACCTATATCAGTAATCATTTCAAGCCACATAGCATAATTACAGCAATAAAGTAAGTAGAGTGGTATTGATCTTCGTTACCTAACAGGCTGTATATAAAAATCCATGTATCTTCCCAGCTGAGACACTGAGTATATGTTACCTCACGAGTAAAACATCCCGATCATATCCATCCATCCATCGATTCATTCATCCCTCCCCAACGCCATAACCCAAAGCTAAACCAAAAGGTAAAATCCCCTACTCAATCATCGCTAAGATATCAACCAAAGAAGGAATCAGACAAATCAAACGCAATATGTACAATCGAAACGAAAACCGGAATAAGCGGGCAGGAAGAACAAGCAAGCAAGGAATGGATGCGTCAATCAATCATTCCTGTTCCTCATCCCAGCCCTCCACCTCGGCCTTCTCAACCTCCGCCATCAACGACGGTTCAAAGACTGACTCATTCTTCCCAGGCACACTAGTCTTACTATCCTTGAAGACCAGACCGATGCAATCGCGCCACCGCTTACGTCGATCCATAAGCGTGCGGGCAACATCACCAATCGCGGGACGGCCAACGCCTGCAGCACTGACGACATGGCTGCCGCCGCCGGCGCCACCGGGACGGTGTTTGGCCTGCGAGCCCTTTTTGCTTTTTCCGAGGGTGCGGGTGCGTTTCAGGTAGGCCTGTTGGACCTGGGAGTCCAGGTCGTCGTGGATGGTCATGTACTCCTGGTAGGCCATGCGTTCGCGGGCGATGTCGAGGAGACGGGTCTTGCGGGCGCTGTTGATGATCATTTGTTTTTTGAGCTCGCTTTGGAGGAGGCGGAGGCGCTGGGCGATGTCGTCGTCGTAGTGGGCGTCGTAGTCTGGGTTGTCGTCTGGGCCGAGGAAGCCGACGTGGCGGAGTTCGGCTTTCAGGCGCTCGTCTAGCTGCGAGTGGTCGAGCTTGGCGGCGGGGACTTTGAAGTTGTTGGGGGAGGAGTCGGGGAAGGCGGTTGCGGACGGGAGGGGTTTGGTTTCGTTGGAGGTCTCGCCGGTTGGGTGGTCAATGTCCATGGAGTCAGGGTTCATGGGGCCGTTCGCCATGTCGCCGTTGACGGAGCCGTTGGCGTTAGGGGCGGATTCATCGGGGAGAGCTCGATGTTCATAGCGGAGTAGTGAATAGAGTCGGCTGACGAGAGGGCCGACGGAGACTTTGTCGGTTTCGACGGTCTCGTCGGTCACTTGGTCGATGTTTCCTCGGCCTTGGTTGAGCGGTAGCCGCTCTTTGTCGCCGTTGGGTTGGTCGACGTTCATGAGCCCATCGTCCTCGGCCCATACTTCGGTGTAGTGTTTCTTTCCGCGTCGAGGCATGATGAAGGGGGTCGTGCGATCGCCCTGGGTGGGTGAGCGATGGGCTTTGGCGAGGTCGATTGGAGAGCTCACCTTCTCTTTAAGGAACGCTATGTCTTCTTCTGTCAAGGGGCGGACGTATGGATCGATATAGGCGAGGAATGTGTTGGCGTTGACTTGACTCGCGGGCTTGGAGCTGCTGAAATCGCGATCCGGTGGGGAACCTGCCATCAGATGGCTCAAATCACTCCAGGGGAAGCGGGCGACGCTGTAGATGGCCTTTTTCTCCTCATCGGTCATGTCTGGGGTAACCTCCCGAATGTGATATATGGTGGGGTCATCGAATTTGAGCGGGTTGGGACCGAACACTTGCACCTGTGGCACGGCCGGCGCGGGCTCAGGTTGGTGTGACTCGGAGCTATCGTCCGATCCAGGCGACCCTGCATCCTCGGCCGCTTCATCGGCAGCTGGTTGGGGAGATTTTCGCGATGTGGGGGATAGAGACGAGGCCTCTTCGGAAGCAGCATTCTTGGACTTTTTGGAAGCTGGGGATGCGGCTGTATGAGTTAGCATAGGATCGAGGCGCATGATGAGTAGACTTGAAACGCTACACTTCATCGCAAATACGGAGTGAATGATAGACTCACCACCTTCCACCTTCGTCTCAGCACCGTCTTGTCGCGCAACATCATGGGCACCGTGAGTCAGCGGACGTTCCTCCTTGGAACTGCTTCCGCGTTCCTTGCGCCTCTTTAGCTTGCCTCCCTTTAGTACCTTCTCTTCCTCCTCGTCATCGGCTTCTCGCTTCATCTTCACTCGATCGGTCCCTTCGCGCTCGGCTGACTCTTGCTCTTCAACGACCTCCTTGCGCTTCTGTGATAGCTCTCTGATGCCGGCATTGCATGCGTCACCTCGCGTTTCAGCTAGCTGGCTCAGGGTCTTGAGGTGTTCCATCAACAACTCGAGTGACTTGGAATCGGGGATCGGGCCAACTCCACCCATGCGCTCGAGCAATTCTCCATACTGGATGGTCGAGCCAGTCATCATCAGCTTGGAGACATCGTTGTCGAGGTAGCTGTGGAGCGGGGCGGAGGCGGTCGGGCCGGCGCTGAAGCTGGAGTTCGGGGTAGTATTGCGACTTCGGGAGGGGCGAGCCTCGCGGCCTTTGCCTTTGCCTTTGTTTGCGGAGGGCATATTTGAGGCGTGAGTTTGGTAGAAAGCTGTTGGACGATATGCGATGCGCGGAGGGATTGGCAGTCTGATGTGGTCTGGTATCGCGTGGACTAATAGCTCATAGTGTTCATGCTCGGATCGGGGGCCTGCGGTCAACGCGCTCACTCAAGCACGCAGATTCAGAGCTATCGTTCCTGTCTTTGCAGACGAGCTCAGCACCGTCTCAATTGAGTAGTAGTTTGATTGATGTTGTTGTTGTTGATGATGCTGGAGATGCTGATCTCGAGATGCCCGTCTCCACGTGAGAGGACATGTGATCTCACGTGTAGTTTATATCACATGACTCAAATACAAAAGGTGCAAACGACGCATAGTAAACAAACTATTTAGAGGTGAGACGCTAAACCAAATTCGGATCCACCGACATGGAGAAGTGGAGGATCTACAAGGCATACATGCTAACCCGTAGTTTACTCCATCGCACTGCAGTCATCGCCTCTACTCTTGACACAGCGAGGTAGTACAGACTACAGCTGGGCCCTTCCTTGACTTTTCACCATTGGCAGAACCAATGGTAATACCATGGCTGCTTTGGGTAGGATGCTTGCATCTGAGCATCACCATCTATCTTCGTTTTGGCTATTTTTAGACCCTCAAGAGTAACCCTGCTCGGTTCACGCCGCAAACGTCGCATTCACTGCAAACGGCATACAGGCGACCCAAGATGGCCAGGACAAGCAAATTTGATCTGCGAAGAGCCAGCTCAGAAGCAGTACCACAGCAAACTGCAGATTTTTCTGCATGGTCGTGGCCTTGGTACAGGTGACCGCCGCAATTATCCGCGACAGGCAGTCGAATGGACCTGACCTGTCAGCATTCTTCCCACAAGTCCCATAGACGAGATAATAGATTGCCTCTGTTCGCACACTCTCCCATTGCAGTAGACATCGTGCGTCTGACGTCGACTCTGACCTTGATCGGATCGGAATGCGGATGACGATGCTCCCTGGACTTGGATTTTAAACTGCTGGATTCCTCTTGTCCACGGGTCTCGTGCTGGTCGCACGACCGTGTCACACCATGAGTATGCTCCCCTTGCTTCAGAGAATGCTGCACATTCCTTCGATCGTGCTGCCTGTTCATCCTTCCGTGGATGTCTCACTGTCCATATCTGAGCGATCGCTGATATGCCTCTTATCTAGCTGCCAAATCGCTCACCACGGTTGCGACGCTCTTTGCTGATCCGTCCAACACTACCATCGCTCTGAACGTGCGTCAGACACCGTGAAAGTCGTGTACGAGATGCTGACTGTGCCCCCTTAGGAGAGTGCGATCTTTTCTCTCAAGCTTGACGGTACCGTTCAGACCCTGTCGAAACAAAAAGCCCCGGACAAAGGCTCAATTCAGGGTCTTCTCTTTGTTCCCAGCCTCGGAACTCAAGATCCGTGCAACAATGCCACTGAACCGTATATCCCGGCCAATGTCACCCGCCTACAAGGCGTCACGCCGTTCGACGGCCGTGTGATCGGGCTGGCACCTTGGATAAGCGACGAATGTTCGCAGGCGTTTCTAGATGTCTCGCAGGGCACCGTGCCGGACGCGCTGCTCTTTTTTCTGCCGTCCAACGATGACACAAAACCGCCATCGGCAAATGACCCGGCATGGCAGCTGGGAGGCAGCACTAATTGGCAATCGCAGAGCAACTTCCCGGTGTACGGAATCCCCGGCGCGGCGGGTGCTACCTTGATGGAACAGCTGTCACGCGACGGGAGTGTGCCAAATCCCGATGACCCAGACAATCTAACTCCATTATCGTCGTCAGGGACTTCCCGACTATTTGCGGTCATAGATATAGGTAGGCTTGGTTGTCTTGCCGTTCAAGTAAGAAGCTGACATGCTCCGCAGATAGTGGCGGAAAGAAGATGCCCAGTATATGGGGGTTCATTCTCGCCATTCTGGGGACTGTTCTCGTCCTTACTATTATACTTCTTTTATTCTACCAACTGGTGCACAGGCGGCACCAGCGGGAGCTCCAGCGCCGCCTGGAAGCCGGAGAAGCAGACCTGGAGCAATTAGCCCAGCTTCACATCAAGGTTCCACCAGAATTTCTGGAGACGATGCCCATTTACATCTACATGGGCGGTGGTGACGACGACGAATCGATCAATGAGAACTCCACGCCGGGGCATCTACCACGAATCACTGAACATGCTGCTGAAGACAAGGACCCTAAGACCCCCACCGTCGCAATTCGTGAGACGGATGATGAGGCGGAAAAAGCAATAGACGGCGAGTCCATCAGACGACCCTCTCAGGCGACAATAGCCGGTCAGCCAGATGCCTATGTGCAACACAAGAACCGACTCAGCCGACAGCAGACGACGTGCGCGATCTGCCTGGATGATTTTGAGCGGGATTTATCAGCAGTGCGCGAGCTGCCGTGCGGACACATCTACCACCCACCATGCATCGACACATCCCTAACGCAGAGCAGCAGTCTCTGTCCACTGTGCAAGAAAAGCGTGCTCCCAAGCAGCTGGTTCAGATTCCCACCGGAAGACCCATGGCTACAACCTCATTGAATAGACATTCCACAACCCTAGACTTACATAACACATTAAATAGAATAGACTGTACATGACAAAACCCAACCAACCATCTATAGAAATAGAAAAGCTCAAGCAAACTTATCATGTTTCCCCCGGACTCTAACATCCAACACGACCTCATGAAAATCACCCTCCTTCCTCGCCTTCCTCAACCTCTTCACTTCATCATCATCCAACCGTCTCCCCACAATACCCTCCAACTCCTTCCTCCCAATCTTCTCCCGCGCCTTAATCTCCTTACTCGCTTGAATGCGCGGTTTGAAGCGCGCCTGCATGCGCACCCGGATATTCGTCCCCCCGCCACCCTCCTCCCCATCATCGAGATTAGTCTCATCCCCACGAACCTCCACCTTCGTCCCAGAAGCGGTCGTCTTTGACGTAACAGTCCGCGCAACAATATACGTCTGCTTCTTCTTCTCCTCCTTATCATCCACACCATCACCCCCCTGCGCAGCGGAAGACGAGGAAGAAGCCCCCGTCCCCGTCCCAAAAACAAAGAACCCTCCACCCCCAACCCCACTCTCATTAATCGTATATATCTCGTGCTGCGAGATGGCTGATGCATTGGCGGACATGATGCCATGTTTGTCGCTGGTCAGGTACCTAGTCCCACAAATATCTCATTAGCTGATCCCATTATCATCATAAACAGAAATGATAATACAGAATAGAGGGGGGAAGGGAAAGGGTATGTATGCATACCGCCCATTCGACCCCTTCAAACTCCACCCCTCAATGCCCGCAATCTTACTCGCAATCCAAACCTGTCGCACATCATGCGGCTCCGCGGTCCGAGGATCCCCCTCGATCATGTTCTCGAGTGGAGAGGCGAAGACGGTGCCGTGCGCGTCGGTCGCGAGGCACGTGGGTGGTGTGGTGCGCAGGATGAGGAGGATCGGGCCTGAGATGTCGCTGCTCGTGTCGGCGGATACCCAGGATTGGTCTGAGAGGGTGTTTTCGTCGTGGTGTTCGGTGGCAGAGGGGTCTTCTTGTTGGGTTGTGAGGCTGGTGGATGTGGATTGTTTTTTGGATGGGTGGGAGCCATCGGTGGTGGTGGTGGAGGTGGATGTGTGTTTGCGTTTCTTGGGCTTGTCGCCTTTGAAGGTTAGGGGTTTGACCATTTTCAATGGGTCGTAGATTGGAATTGGGCGGTGGGGGAGGAGGTGATGTAGAGAGTGAAGATGTGGTGTTGAGGTAAGTTGTGAGGTGATGGATGGATGGGCGAGGAGAGCTTGGTGTGGAGAATCTTTCTTATCGATAAGTTGCGCTTGGTTTTATCGGCTGGCGGTTCAACCGGGAGTTGAACCTAGCTATAGCTATAGCTATTGTACTAGCTAGCTATGGTAGTTTATTTCATTCGATTTTTACTTCTGTACTGACCTCAAGGTCCTCATTATCCTACTTTGGTTTAAATAGAGTCCTGGTGGAGATCTACGTCAGGATGACTCCCCGGGTACTCACCCCATATATATACTACCTTGTGAACCCACATTGATACCAACTGGAATGTCATCGAAAAGACCTACTACTACTACTAATATCATTTGCAAGAAGTACACATTCATATAACATAACTCATTACTATATACACCTAGTGACCAGCACTAACTTACTCAAAAGTAATCGCCGCCTTAATGGCCGTCTTGTTCTTCATCGCCTCCAGACACTCCTCCCACTGATCAATCTTGAACGTCTTGTTGACGATGCCCTTGACCTTGACCTTGCCAGAGTCGAGGTAATCAATCGCCGCAGGGAACTTGTACACTTCAGAGAAGCTACCCAGGATGGTAATCTCATCACCAACTATCACCATCATCAGTACACGTCCACCTCACGACTTAGAGGAATAGAGGGATACTCACAGATCTTGCTAGGAGGCCAAGACACACGGTCCTTGTTGGAATAAACACCATACACGACCAACTTACCACCTCTGCGAACATAGTTGATCGAGTCTTCCAGGATCTTAACACTACCCGTGGCCTCAACAACAATGTCAAACCCGTAGGGGTTCTCCTCCTTCAGCTTCTGGAACTGCGCGCTAGGATCCTGTCGCGACAGCGCAACATACTCGTCACCTGCCTCCAGCGACTTGGCCAGATCCATCTTCAATCCCTCAGGAGCGACAACCACCACGCGGCAGCCACCGCATTGGCGGAGCAATTGAGCCAGGATCTACACATTCATCGTTAGCGCCACTTCATACCTTCTCATCTAATCAAAGTGGGAGAGGAACATACCAAACCAGTCGGTCCGGCTCCAAACAACAACACCGACGACCCCATCTTGGGCGCAATCTTATCCAAACCATGCGCGGCACAGCTGGCCGGCTCCAACAAAGTGGCATCGACATCGGAAAGGTTCTTGATCTTGAATACCCTGCCAGCAGGGTACGCGCAGTATTCAGCAAAGCCACCGTTCATGGTGACACCGTGGGCCTCGAAGTGTTCGCAGAACAGCTCATCGCCGCGACGGCAGTAGAAGCACTCGCCACAAAGCTCAGAGTTGTCGGCGACGACGCGGTCACCGATGTCGAAGCCCTTGACTTTGGGACCGACGGCGGCGACGACACCGACTGTTTCGTGGCCGGGGACGAGAGGGAACTATTTTTTCAATCATGTTAGTGAGATGCGAGAGGGGGTGTGGGAGGAGGGGGGTTACGGTACCTTTGCGATGAATTCACCCTCGTGGATGTGCAGGTCGGTTCCGCAGACACCGCAGGCTTTGACTTTGATCTGTGAGGGAAAGGGAGAATTGTTAGAGGTATATGGTATGTATACGTATGGAAGAGGAGGGAAGGACATACCAGGACATCGTTGTCACGGAGCTCAGGCAACGGGACATCGACGATGCTGTGCGACTCTGGCTTCTCATAGCTGGTACCTATGTTAGCCACATCCCGACCAACTATTAGACACAGGAACAAGATGCATACCGAAGAGCCTTCATTGTCTGAGGAAGCGTGGAACCCATGATGATAATGATAATCTACTACAGGGACCGACACCGTCAGCAAGGAACCAACAAAACCCTAAGCAAGAATCTCAGAAAGAGACGAGAAAAAAACATACAGAATATCAACGAAGAAGAAGAAGAAGAAGAGGAACAGCGAAGTTGGGGAAAGAGAGAGAGAGGGTAAGTATGGAAGAGTGAGTTATGGATAAAAGATAAAAGATGAAGAACGAGAAAGAAAGATGGGAAAGACGAGGCTATTTGAATGGCAGCCATTCGAGGGGTAAAATACCAAAGTTAACTAACTAACTAATATTATTCTATACCAGGATCCAAACCAGGAATAACTTCCTTACCATACTACGTAAGGGAAATCGGACTAATCCCCAGTGGGGATGGCCTGATGTTGTTGTTCCTCTCCGGGGATCTGTCCTCCTACGGCTTCACTACTTACTACTACGACGGGAGACATGGACCAATTCCATTCCCTTCCATCCCGTCTATGAAACACTCATGCACTCAACCCATAGGGTATAGCACTACTACTATCCTTGTACATGACCCCCCTCCCACCCCCCCAACCTAACAAACTTACTTACTATCCAGTCACAACTGACTATTCCTACTACTAGTAGTACCAAGGTAAGCAAAGACACAGTGTGACAGACAGACACAAACCATGAATGATCCCCCGCAAATACCATCGACACCATCTACACCAACCACCACCACCACCACCACCAGCAACAACAACCACTACGTACTACAGAGTCCAAGTCCAGGACCCAGACTGGAAGCTAGATAGTACTAGTAGCTAGCTACCTTTACAAGTGGGTCCCATCCAGTCTACCACCCACATAGAAATCGAACCCAAGAGAATCAAGAACCAGAAACCAACCCAGCAACCCAAAACCTATGACTTCATCACAGAAACCGCCAGAACCTCTCTATTCTACAACGAGTTAAGGGCGACACGAAAAAAAAAAAAAAAAATAAAGAAAAGGGCGCCTAATCTACCCCCACAAGCCTAGGTAACTAACTAACTACTTACGATCCGCATGACTTCATTTCCCCCCCCACCCACTTCAACGTGGTATCTTTCCCGAGTGGCCTTGATTTTCCGACTCTAGAGTCTAGAGAGACTGGATGAGATCTGGGCCAGGAACCAGGAACAATGTCTATCTGTATCCATTATACAGAGATAGATAGATGGCGTGGTTCCTGATGGTGTTCCTGTTCTACTATGTACTATTGAGGAAAGGAATCAATGAATTGAATGACTTCATCATCGAGGGGTATGCAAATTCCCTTCTGACATCGACGATCGCTCCTCGAGTTGCTCTTTGCTCTTCTTCTCTTCCAGCGCGAAACAAAACAAACTCACCGCTGCCCCACTCGCTACGGCACGACTAGCGCTGTTTCTCATGCATGCACCTCCTCTCTCTCTCTGTGTCTCTCTCTCTGACCAAGTTCGAGAGGAGGCACTAACACTAGACTGTCTACTTCGTACTGTCTACTGCCTCCTGCCTCCTGCATCATTCGAGTAATTACCGCTTTCATTTGGTCGCCCAACGATCTATCCACATCGGGACCCTCTCTAACTTATCTTCGGGCAACTGCTATGTACATCACTCTCTCTCTCTCTCTCGGTCCGATTCCCCTTGGCTATGGCCCGACACTGTACCGTCTCCTCCCGGTCCGACTGGCTTTGCTGCTCAACTTACGTGGCTGCCGTCTCATGACCGCCGCCGACAGCTCGTACTATCGGTGCCTTGTCAACCGTACACCGCGGATGCATCTCGTCTTCCCCCGCAGGCCATCAACCCGGTCCAGCCCCGTCTACCAAATGCACCCCGGACGAATCTCACCACCCCCAAAACCTCGTACAAGAATCGAAATAAGAAAACGCCCCAATACTCAAAAATAAAACTAGTGCTAATGCTGTTAATGCCCGATGCCCCGAATGATGTCCCAGACGCCAGTGCCAAGGCTCGCAATTGAAGGGAGTCCTGCTCCCGTCTCTACTTCAGCCCGAACCCCTCGCTATTCAACACCGCATCCCAAAGCATGCGCTCCAATTTCTCCCGCGTCTCATACTTATACAGTCCCAGCTGGTTGAAACACGTCCGCGCCGTCGGGAATCGGCTCGTCTCATCCCCAAGACACACCAGCCGGATCGACAGGCTTGTCGCCCCCATAGCGGGGATGCGGTCGCTTCCCGTCACAAACGACAGGATCTTCCGTTGTGCCTGCGGCTGTGTCTGTTCGAAGAAATCCCAGAACCACCGGACCACCGGCTCTGTCTCTGGCCGTGCATTGGACCAGTTGTCATACGTGGCAACTGCCCGCAGGGACGCCACGTCCAGCGGCTCGTCCGAACCGCGCACCAGTAGCTCGATCTCTTCCGGACGGAACAAAGAGAGTGCATTGCCGCCGCAGACCGTGAAGAAACCCCGTTTGAACGGCTCGAACTGCCGTGTGACCGCCGTGTCTAGGAGAAAGTGCACATATAGGTCCACAAACTCCCGGCGATTCGCGTTGGTCACCGGCCGATTCTCCCCTCCAGCGCAAAGGGGCACCGACACTGTTTCGCCGTAGCGATCTACCTGCGCAACAAAGTCGTAGCAGAACGTCTCCGCAACGTCCCCTTCGTAGTCAAGCAGCGCCCGTAGACCCTTGGCAAGCGCCGGGCGGAGCTCCGCCAGATCATCCAGGCCGCACTTGTACGTAGGCCGCGTAATTGACGACAGCGGTGCCGCAGCCAGGAGCTTCTTGAAGGCAAACGGTGGCAGCGCAATGTCGAGGATGGTCGAATTGTAAATGGCCAGTCCCAGTAGGACGCCGACCAGGAAGAACTGCTCCGAGGACTCGAAGCAGTATGGATTGAAATAACAGTATTGCGAGTCGTCATCATAGATAAATAGCCCTACAAGACAATCAATTAACTGGCTCATTGCATGTTTTGGCTGACAATCAACGTGTACTTACCGTGGTGAGGATCAAAGACTTCCCGGACAAGGAGCAGGAACCATTCCTTGCGGAGACCTCCCGCATCAACGCCCTCTTCACCGAGGAATTCGATGCGTAGTCCCTTCTTGATCTCCTCCTGGCTAGAGCCAACGACTTCACTGACTCCCCGCAGACTGTCTTCCACTAAGCAGTCGCGGCGCACCTTCAGCACAAGATACTGGCTGATCGCCGTGCGACTCATGATGCTGTTAAAGAACGCTTCGCGAG